TGTATATATATATATATATACATATGTATTATTCACACCTTCGGTGTAAAGGACGCAAGCAGATTTTTACATCAAATTTTGGGGTAAAAAAGTGCGTCTTATACACCGAAAAATACGGTACTCTGCGCCTGCGTACTGAAACCAATATTGTGAGCATCTATTTTCAAGCATAATTAAAGTTGTTTCAAAAAAATATTACCCAATATGATTTTTTTTTCATTGGTCTTATTAGGAATTAGCCCGGCATGGCCATGTGGTTAGGGCGCTCGACTCGCAATCTGCGGGTTGCGGGTTCGAATCCTCGTCCCACCAAACATGCTCGCCCTTTCAGCCGTGTGGGCGTTATATGTGACGATCAATCCCACTATTCGTTGGTAAAAGAGTAGCCCAAGAGTTGGCGGTGGGCGGTGATAACTAACTGCCTTCCCTCTAGTCTTACACTGCAAAATTAGGGACGGCTAGCGCAGATAGCCCTCGTGAAGCTTTGCGCAAAATTCAAAAACAAACAATAATTCAAAAAAAATCAACAAATGCAATATATATTAACCTTCAATGTCAAACCTAGAATTGATCAGAATAAAACTTGTTGACGAAGACTTACTTAGAGTAGCGAATTTAATTTAATTTAGAGGTGTTTAACATATTTTATTACAGCTCAATAGTCTTACATACTTCATAAATTCAGAGGACACTGTATAATACTGTAACCTACTGACTTGTCTCAACATTCTTGATAAGAGATGAGTGTTAGTCAAGTTTACTAATTCCGTCTTAAAACGTATTTTTAAATCAGAAAATAACCAAAAACACACCAATAACTAATTAAATTTATCGAAGATTTAAATGATAGCGATATATATAGTATTCGCCATTACGAAGTTAAACAATCGTACTTGCATACAGAGAGATATCGAAGGTATTTTTACAATGTAAAAAAGGGGGCTTAGATCCCTTGCTTTTCATTTCTGAACGCTCTGAACTTCTTCAGCGGTACTGAAAAATATTAAGTTGGTGTTTGTTTTTTTCGAATTATTTTCCATAATAAATTTATAGTTAAACATAGAAATGTGAGTCACGAAATCAAGTTTGTTTTAGTTTAAGCACAAATCTGTACAATGGGCTATCTGAATTGTGCTCATCGCAGGGATCGAACCCATAATTTTGGTTCTAGAAGCCGTCAAGCTGACTGCTGAGCCACGAGGCCTTATGAAAGAAAGGTATATAACAAAATACGAACAAATTATTGCAGCTGTAGTTTACACGTTTACTTTTTTTTACTGCGATTAGGCCCGGCATGGCCAGGTGGTTAGGGCGCTCGACTCGCAATCTACGGGTGGCGGGGTCGAATCCCCGCCACACCAAACATGCTCGCCCCTTCCGC